GGAATCATTGAGCTAGAAAGCCCTAGAATGTTGTAAGCAAAGCCTAATAAGACATTCTGATAGGAGTTTGGAAGACCAGAAAATTCCAAAAGAAATGAAGACAACAATAGTCTAGAATATGAAATTTCAAAGAGGTGCAAGTATGCTCTCAGAATTGGCTTAGAGGCCCTTTGTGTTATATTCTGGCTATATTCTGCCCATGTCCTGAGAACTTCAGTGTATGGGGGGATTAAAAAATAATGAACTAATTAGTTTGGTAGAGGAAATGTAAAACAGGATAGCAGGATAGTATTCAGCCTGTGGCGTGGCTCCTATCGACTTTTTCATCCAGGTGAAGACAGAGAAAGAGAGAGAGAGAGAGAGAGAGAGAGAGAGAGAGAGAGAGAGAGAGAAGCAAGAGCGAGGAAGACTGATGGAGATAAAGGAGACATGGAGCCAGATTTACAGAGCCCTGGAGAGCAAGAAGGGACAGAGAGTGAGGGTGAGCATGGGACAAGGAGAGACAGGCACCCCTAGAGGCAGGGGCTTGGTGTCTGGCACTCTGGTCTCTAGGCCCTCGTACACACCTTGTCACAAAAGATCTTGATCTGACAGACAGCACGGTGTACCAGGCGCTCAGCACCCGTGCCACAGTCATAAGTGTCAATTTGCAAGTTCAGGGGAACACCCTTCACCCCCTTCTGTGAGGAGAAGTCTGTGCTCAGACAGTTGACACCGATAAACACCTGGGGACAGAGCAGAGAGTTGGGTAAGTGGCCTCTTCAAGACTACGTGTTCAGTGAGCACCCTTCAGCCACCCCCGGCCCATCAGGCAAGCATCATCACCCCCCTTTTCACAGACAGGGAAAGGGGTGCTCGGGGTGAGAGGAGGCTTTCCCGAGGCAGCCTGGTCCTCAGGCAATGGGAGTCAGGCAGCCACGCACTCCCTAGTTCACTGAGGGTAGCCCACCCTGGGAGGCGCTAGGGCCCTTCAGGGACTGGAGATCCAAAGTTTTATTTTTCTACAGCTTGAAGCAAATTAGTGACATGACTTTCCTGCTGACTCAGAGACACAGAATTTGACACAATCCCTTCACCCTAATCACCAGTTGCAGCCAGAACTGTATTCTAGCTCCTTCCATTTGGGTGGCCCCATACCTTTTATGGCTGATGGCTGCCCTGGCCATCTCTGTTCTAGAGCTATAGAGGCTAAGCAGGGATAGTCTGTCCCCCAAGGGGTCAGGGCACATGAGCCTAGATGTGACCCCTGGTCTGATGTGGGGAGCTCACCAGCCTGTGGCTTGGACAGATCCTGTGAGCTCCCTGACCCTCTGTTTCCTTATCTACAAATGGGGATGGGTAAACTTATCCTGCAAGGCAGGGAGAGGGTTCAGATGTGGTAACCTGGGGCCTGTCTCAGCAGGACTAGCCCTGGCTGACTGTTATTTGAGGGGACTCAGGGCTAGACTCTGCTACCCAGGCCGGCCTTGGTCTCTGAGACATTTCTCTTGGAAATGGCCCTGACCTGAACAGCGGGGTTGGGGGTGGGATGCTTGAGCAGACCCCTTGGCCATAGGCTTGGTGGGGGGGGGTGACGGCAGCAGGTAGCTCATGCTGGGTGGAGCTCCTTTCACCTGGCCCAGAGGCTCTGCAGCCTCTGTCAACTTCAAGCTTGCACTGAGACCCAGGCCTAGAGGCACAGAGACCGTGAGAAGATCCCCACTGAAACCCACCCCTCCCTTCTCATGAAACTCTCCCACCCTCCAGAACTGGTCCACCCCTCCCTTCCCACGAAACTCTCCCACCTCCAAGAAGGGACAGGCTCTTCCTTTAGCCCCTAGCTCTGTTTGAATAACAACCCCATCTGGGTTCTGCCCCTGTCTCCACATCTTCCTCACCTCCCTCCAGGGGAGACAGGGGTCCACAGATGCCTTTGGGATGAGTGGACCAAGGCCAGATGGGTGTGGCAAGAGTGAGCAGGGCAGGGAAAGACAAACTGGAGAGAGGTGACCCAGACCCTGAGGCCAGGCTAGTGCCTGTTCTACAACATAACCTTTCACACAGGACACCCAAGAGAGTCCAGAGTACCTAGTCTGGTGACAGGCACTTGAGTGAGAAAGCTCCAGGTTTTCACACTGGCATGAAGATAGCTGGTGGGGCTTCCTCTCCCTGGCCTCTCCCATGACCCCATGGCCCTACTGTGTCCCAGCCTCTTAGACAGGACAATGGGAGCCTCACCACAACCCAGTGTGAAGATTAGAATTGTTGACAGGCTCCAGGAAGCCAGTCCCTGGGCTCAAGCCTCCTCTGCAACTCCTGAGCCCATATCGGCATGCCACCAGGGGTTCTGAGCCCCTTTTTGTGGGGCTCAGATGTCCTGTCTGGTGAATGGGCAGGCAAGGTTGCTGATCTCATCATGTCTGATCCCCATTACAACTGGTCAGTTGAGGCTATGGCTACACTCTGATCTTCCAGCCATAAAACTGAAGCTGAGGGAGCTCACAGGATCCAGATGCCTCTGGATGCCATTGCCTCCCTGGGTGCTCAGCAGAGTGGATGCCACCGTCCTGGGAGCAGGTGAGTCTTTCCCAGAGTGCAGTCACTCTACCCAGGCCGGTACTGACCTTGGCTTCCTCGTTGACGTTCCACACGAAGGACAGCGCGTTGTAGGCCACCTCCTCGATGTGCTGCACTGTGTTGAAGTTTTCTTTGCAGTCAGCTGAAAGGGCAGGAGACCAGGGTGGTCAGTGGGGAGGAGTCTTGGGGCACCATGAACTGCACCTGACTCCTGGCAGGGACATGTATCCCTAAGCTGCCGTCTAAGAGGAGGGACTATGTGCTCTGGAGCACAGAGGGGAAGATGAGGCCAGCCTGGGAAAGGAGAGTTTCCCCCAGTTTCTGCCAGCAACATGGGGCCCTCAGTATGTTGAGGTGAAGGTTACATTTTTCTGGGGGGTGTGACATAGATCTCAGATAATGCATCAGGAACAGTACGGCAATAACGGCACTGATAAAAGTAATCTTGGCAGCTAGTGTTTATTCAACACTTAACACAGCAAGCCTCCTCCTCCTAGCTCTGAATATTCAGTTTACACGCAAGGAAAACAAAGCTCAGAGAGGTTTGGCTTCTTGCCCAAAGTCATAGAGCTAATGAAAGGCAGAGCAAGGAACATAGTGCAGATCTGCCTGGTTCTTAAGCCTATTCTCCTAACCATCCTGTTGTTCAGCTTCTCGGCTAAGTTCCCAACCAACATGCCACCTGCACTATGTGCTCCAGTGTGGCTGGCCAGTAGGGCAGCTGACATCCTACCATTTGACAGGTGGATAAACTGAGGTATAGGAAGGGGAGGGGACATAAGTCACACAGCTAGGAAGAAAAGGATGGACCCAGAAAAGGCTGGAACTCTAGTTTGTTTGGAGTGGTCCAGGGTCAGGGTGGCCCACCTAGAGGGGCTTCCCTATCCTCCATCTGTGGACAGAGATGAGATTAAGGTCCTAGCCCCAAAGTGAACCTGCCTGCCTTGGGTCTCATGTAGCCCCAGGCTGGCCTAGAACTTGCTAATGCAGTCAAGATGACCTTGAACTTCTGGTCCTCCTGCCTTCATTTCCCAGCTACAGGGATTACAGATGTGCTCCATCATGCCAGGTTTATGCAGTGCTGGGGATGGAACCCAGGGCTTGCTGCATCCTAGGCAAGCCCTCTACCAGCTGAGCTGCATCCTAACCATTGCAGGGCCTAGTCATTGACTTTGTCTCGGTCCCAGGTCCTGTTTATCCCAGAGCAATGCAGAAAACAGCCACTGCTTCTAACAGTAAAGTCTTTCTCACTGTACACTATGGTACTTGATCTGGGGGAGGGGTTTGGGGAAGGGGCACAGGAGGAGGGGCCTGGGAGGGAGTGGGGTAGGCTCTCACCCACGTCGATGACCCGCTGCTTGGCAGTGGGCTGCCGGGAGTGCCAGTGCTTCCAGAACCGCAGCTGCTCCAATGGGACCTTCTCGTTATCGAACACAACCATCACCACACTCTGTAAGTGAGCAGTCATGTCACCTGGGTTTGGAGGCCCAGGTACTGGGTCCCCTCCCAGTGCATGGCCCAGCAGTCCTGCCCTTCATCCCCACAACCCCTTCTCATCAATGACAAGCTGACAAGCCAACAAGCAATCCTCAGCAGCCTCTCCCCAGACACTTTCCCCAAGCTACTCCAGGGCCCACAGACCTTGACTTTGCTGGAAGACAGGGTGAGGCCTTTGCCTCCTGCTGGTGTGCGCAGGGTGACCGGGTAGAACTGGCCTTTGTTGAGGTAGGCCATGGGTGACTCCCCTGCCTTGATGTGGATAGCTTTGGGGGAGCCCAGGGTGTACTCGAAGTCACTGTGGGGAGGGAGAGGAATATGAGGCAGGCTCCTGAGGCATGGGGCAGGGGCCTGGGTCTGCAGTGGACATGCAATGTGACCTTCTAAGTCTCTTTCTTTTTTTCTTTTTTTTTTAAAATAACATAGAAAAGTTTAATATATTTTCATGTTTTTTAAGTCTCTTTCATCCCCCAGGAAGGTCTATTTAATGGCTCTATGGAATCACATTCTAGCTGACTAAGGGAGATCCAAAGAAAATCAGACCTGGGAAAGGGACAAAGCCATGGGGGATTGATCACAACAGAGCTTCAATTTTCTTTCTTTGGGGGTTGTTTGAGGCAGGGTCTTACTATGTAGTCCAGGCTAACCTCACACTCACTGTGGAGCCCAAGCTGACTTCAAACTTGCAATAATCCTTTTTCTGCCTGCCATGTGCTGGGATTATAGGTGCACCGCCATGCTCGGTTTAGAGCTCTAGTTTTCTGATAGAATGTTGAGTGCAGATCTCCCTGTCACAGCCCAGGAACAGGCTGTGGAAATTTCTCTTCTCATCTGCCTTTCTTCTTTTCTTTCACTGATGATATCTGGTGTTCTAGGGACAGCGTGAGGCTCTGTGTGCAGCCTCGCCCAAGTGGCCAAGGGTCCTGGAAACTAAGTTACCTCTTGAGGCTAGGATAATCCTCTGGACATGGGGGTTCCGGGGATGCCTTCAGGATATCTGGGAAGAGCAGCGACTATAGAGAAACACAGGGGCAAGAGAATAAACGACCATGTTCAGGCTGCAGGGGCCTCAGTCCAAGGCCGCACATATGGCTACACAGGTTGTAACAGAAGTACATGGCAGCCCTGCCTTGTGTCTAGGACTCTTTCTCCCATAGATGATAAAGCTCTGACTTCCTCACTGTATTTTCTCTGTTTACTCATGCACGCATAGATCCAGGGGTGCTGTGAGGGATTCAGGGGTGGGCACTCACCTCCTGCGGGTCATCTTTGAAGGTGCTGTCTGGCTGCCAGCGCTGTGTGGGTGGCACCCCATGAATGCTCTCAAACAAAGAGTTGAGGGAGCCATTATCATACATCTCACTAGTGGGTAAGAGGTAGCTGTCCACAGAGCTGGCTTCCAGCTTGCTTGGACCTGGGGGGAGGGGAGTGGCCTTGCCGGGGGTGGGCACGGATCCCTCCAAGCTCAGCAGGTTGTTCTTCTTGAGTGGGTCTGGGTAGTCAGGGCTTCCAGACACGTTCTCGGTGAGAAATTTCATGAGGTGTGTGGGGCTCTCAAGGGGGGCAAGGTCCGGCTCGTAGTCCATGCTATGGTAGTACCTGCGGAGGGGGGATGATAAAAGTGAGCACATTCTTTGCTCTGGGGGTTGGGGACCTTGACTGGACTGAGGGTGAGCCCATGTGAGAAGCTGTACTATAAGCTAGGCTCTATGCAGGCCAGTTTGGAGGAAGTGAGTGTGAGGAATGGTCCCTCATGTAGGCACCGGGTTGAGGGAACACCCTGTTTTATCTATCACAGGATTTGTTCATTTAAAAACCTGGAAGCTGCCATGTGGGTGCTGGGATTTGAACCCCGGTCTTCTGCAAGAACAGCCAGTGTTCTTAACCGCTGAGGCAGTGTTCAAATCCCAGCACCCACATGGCAGCTAACAACTGTCCGTAACTCCAGTTCAGGGGATCTGACATCCCACGGCATTGCACTTACCTACGTGCAGGCAATACACGCATACACATAAAAAATAAATAAATAAAATATTTTTTAAAAATCCTGGAAGCTTGATCATTTGTTTCTTAGCTAAATGTCTTTGTGTCAAAATATTCCCACTTTAAAACAGCTGTGTTGGGTCAGCCAGTGGGGTATGTCTAGGAGGGGGCTGTGTACCTGTGATACAATGAGTACATGCTTAGAAAAAGGTCTGGTAGGATATACTCGAAAATGTTGACTGGGGCAGACAGAATTACAAGAAATTTTTACTTTTTACTTTAGATGTTTCTACAGAGTTGAAAATCTTTTCAAGAAACAAGTGTTGTCAGATGTGGTGGCTCACGCCTTTAAACCCAGCACTCAGGAGGCAGAGCCAGAGGCAGGCGGATCTTTGTGAGATTGAGGCCAGCTTAGTCTACATAGATAGTTCTAGGTCAGGTGGGGCTACAGGGAGACCCTTTCTCAAAAAACCAAAAAAAAAAAAGAAAAGAGAGAGAGAAAGAAATATGTAATGCTCTTATAATCAGAAGTTACTAAACTGTGGAATTCATTTGAAAGAGGCCCACACACCCAGACGAAATCCTACATAGTCACCTCTGTGAGGTCCCCATTGACCAGGAAAGAGGAAGTGGAGGAACAGGGGTAGCATTCTACCCTCTCAACCCTTAGTCCTCACCAGACTGTGCTCAGCCTGTGCTATTTTCTACAAGGAAAAAGAACATTGTGGCCTGAGGTGCTAATGCCACACAAAGGCCAGAAAGCTGTGGACAGAAGTCCCAGAACTCGGCTGACCTCTTGGAGGAGCGTTTGGAGTCCAGAAAGAAAAGCTGCCTCCAAGGGTTTCCTCCTGCTGTGGCTTTGAAGTTTGTTTGCAGTAAATGCCAGGCCACACAATATAGGCATCTAGGATCTGGGGTATGGAGTATGTGTGTGTGTGTGTGTGTGTGTGTGTATGTGTGATGGTATGTGTGTGTTTTCAATCACAGTTTTATTATGAGTTAGCAAGGCTCTTCTGCTGATACCATCTTTTTGAGATAAGGTCTCTTTAGCCCAGGCTAGCCTCAAACTCCCCCTTGTAACTGAGGATGAACTCTTGATTCTCCTGCCTCCACCTCTCAAGTGCCAGGACCTCATACATGCTAGACAAACACTTTACCAACTGAGCTACACTCTCAGCTGGCCACCAGGTATTTTGAAACCTTCCATAAAATTGCTCTGGCACAGCCGAGCGTGGTGGTGCACGCCTTTAATCCCAGCACTGGGGAGGCAGAGGCAGGCAGATCTCTGTATCTTCAAGGCAAACCTGGTCTACATAGTGAGTTCCAGGACAGCTGGGGCTACAGGGAGACCCTGTCTCAAAAAAAAAAAAAAAAAACCCCAACAGCAACAACAACAACAAAAAAACATTGCTCTGGCATATTGAATTCAGGCTGGATTGTAAATATTCTTTTCTTCTGATCTTAAAAGAAGTTAAAAAGTTTTGTGAGTCCTAAGACATACTGTGGACTACAGCACTATACCCCCTGTGCTTAACAGGCAGGCCAGTCAGCATTAAAGGGGCCTGGGTGGACGGGGGCCGGGGGGGAAGGAGAGAGGCGAAGGTAGCCTCAGGAAGCTCACCTTTTTCCTTGGTCGTTGCGGCCACCAGTGCTGGAGGACAGGATCCGCTTCTCCTTGGGACCCTGGGAGGAGAAGAAGGAAGAATTGATGGGTGTTCTTGGCTGGGCCTTACTATTGGAGCCTTGTACTCTCCTGGGGCTAGGGTCAGGCCCTCGGATGCCTGGGAGAGAACCTAGTAATCCCTTAGACTGGCAGACTTTTAGCTACTACTAAGTCTGAGCCCCAAATTACAGGGTAGGAAGCAGTTCCCCAAGTTTCCCAGTTAAGAGCATGGAATCAGGAGACAGACAGACCAGCCTGGGTGACTTATTTTACTGCCTAAAAACACTGTGTGACTTTTGTTTTGAGACAGTCTACCTGTAGCCCCAGCTGGCCTGTAACTTACTAAGTAGACCAAGCTGGCCTTGATCTCATAGCAATCTACCTGCCTCTGCCCCCCAAGGATTAAAGGCATGTGCCACCATGCCTGGTATGACCGTGAATGATGGTACTCTCTGAGATTCTGTTTATTCAAATGTTGAACTGGGGATCATAATACCTGCTTCAAGGGGATTCTAAAAAACTACCTGCTTTTTAAAAGTGTGCCTCCTATATGTTAGGAATTGGAAATGTTTTCACTCTTCTTATTTAACCTTCACAACTACGCTGAGAATCTATAAATATTGTCACTATTACCTGGATGGGGAGATGGAGGCCAGATTCCTCTGTCTTAGGGCAAGAAACATGACTCTGAATCTAGATTTAAAAAAAAAATTTTTATTATTTTTATTTTATGTGTATGCGTGTATTGCCTTCATGTAGGTATGTGCACCCATGTCGTGCAATGCCCACGGAGGACAGAAGAGACTGTTGGATCCCCTGGAACTGGAGTCACAGACAGTTGTTAGCTGCTATGTAGGTGCTGGGATTCGAACCTGGGTCTTCTGCAAGAACAACCAGTGTTCTGAACTGCTGAGCCATCTCTCCAGCCCCGAATCTAGATTTCTTGATTCCCTACGAGATCTACCACATGTTGGCTGTGTGATCTTGAGCTTCTGAACCTCACACCCTCATTTGTAAAAACACAACCAGCCTGCAAAGCATTATGGGTATTCAAAGCAGCACCCAGGGGCAGAGGCACAACTTTGACAAAATGACCTTTTGTGATGATAATTATATTATTTCAACTCTTCTGTCCCTAAGACTGAGGAAACTGCTATCAAGCTCTGGAGACTATAGCCTGGTTCCAATCCTAGGAGATCTGAGGGAGGGCTTGGCCCCACACTGCCCAAAGCCATGTGTCCATCTGTGTCATGTCCAGATCTCAGGTACCCGAGCAGGTGCTCTGGTCACATCAACAGGCCAGGCCCGCATGGCCCACAGGGCTGCTAAGCCCATAGTGTGCTATCTTTCCCAAGACCCTGCTGTACTGAGACCAACAAGACTGTCACCTCAGGGCTGGGCCCCAGCAATCCAGTTCTGAAATGGCTTCTTGCTTGAGAGAGGTGATGGTGGATTTTATTTTACTGTCTGCCTTCACCCTGCAAATCCCAGGCTGGGGTTTGAACCTAGATGGAGAATTCTGGCTCCCACCATGGCCCTGAGCTGAGGCAGCCATTCGAACTTCCTCCCTTGTCCTGGGCTGGACACTATCTAAAGATTGCCAGTCTGCTGGGAGGTGTCAGGCAGGGGAACCAGGGCACCCTGAAATGAGGTCCAGAGGCAGCCTGGGGCCTTTGCTATGAGGACTCACACACCTCAGCTTCCCTGGACCTCTGAAGTCATGAAGAGAATTCACTTTCCCCATGTTCATTCAGATATTCAGATAGGCAGGGATGCCTGGAGCTCTGGCTTGACAAGAGGCTGGGCCTTCATTCATGGACCCTCTGTGAGGCTGTAGGCTGCAATCCATTAGCCATGTCTGGCATAGGCACTGCAGGTGGTGATGGGGAGGGAGCATGCCATGAATTCATATTTGTGATTGCTAACTGTTTCAAGCTCAATTTATCAGAGGTGAGAAGGCCCAGTTCCTGCTCCCAGGAGCCAACAATCTCCCAGCATCAAGGCTAAGGCCCTGGAAATTACCAGGGAACAAGGAAAAACAGAATGGTGGCAGAGACAAGGAAGGACAGGAGGAGAAAGGGAGAGCAGATGGGGCTGAACAGTGTCTGAGCGAAGGGGCCCTTGGGATACCCAGAAGGAAGCAGATGGGTTGATGAGCCGACTCCAGGTGGTAGGGATGGAGGGGAGGCTAGGATGACCCAAGGGGATGGGCAGAAATGATGGGGGGTGCTGTGATGAAGTGTGCTTGGCCAAGCCACGCACTGATACAATTGATATGTGCTCTGCACCAGGTGGTGGACTGCATGGGCTGCTGGAGATATAGCAATGGCCACGATGTCCAGTAGCTAGCTCATGGGGAGATGGTGAAATGAGTAGACATTTTGAAGGAGAGAAGTGAGGGGGAAGATGAAAGGTGCTGGTAATACAGAATGAAGACCCATGAGAACCCTACCCCCACCCTCGAGAGAGAATGAGGTGACATTTGAGCTGAGTCCCAGGCGGATAGTAGGGTCTAGTCAGGAGAAAGGAAAGAGCAGCAGGTGCGAAGGCCCAGGGCGAGGGGCTGCTGAGCTCGATGCTGACAGTGGGGACACCCTCAGTGGGTCATCACACATCCCGAGGTGGCAGGCCTACCATGTAATAGTCGTAGAGGAAGCTCAGGGCGGCAACACTGTCATCATCCCCGTTGACTCTCATCATGGCCTTGGTGGCAGCCGTCAAGGGGTTCTCCAGGTATGTCTTCCAGGCCTCATCTTCATTAGTGTAGGGAAACTTCTGGAAGTTCACAGGGTCATTCTTTAGCAGTCGCACAGACCTGAAACTGCAGTCAGGTAAGTAGGGTCACTTTAGGCTGGGGAGATAGCTTATCGGTAAAGTGCTTGCCACACAAACATGAGGACCTGAGTTTGGTTCCCAGAACCCATGTAAAAAGCTGGGCGCAGTGGCCTATGTTTGTAATACCAGGGCTGGAGAGGCAGAGACAGGTGGATCCCTGGGACTCACCAGCCAGATGGTCTAATTGGTGAGTTCCAGGTAGATAAGAGGTCCTGTCTCCAAAAAACACGTGGCGGACAGTATCTGAGAACTGACAGATGAGACTGTCCTCTGGCCTCTACATGCAAGTACACATGTGCATATGCACGTGTCAGCATATACAAGTACACCTGTATACACATAAACACACACACACTTGTGTACATGCATATGCATACACGCACGTATGCAAACATAACACAGACAAATAAGAAGTGTTACTTTTAGGCTGTCCCAGAGGAATGTCCCTGAGAACACGGCCTCAGACCACTGCTCAAGAGTTCAGAGTTGCCAGCCTGAGAAACAAGAAGTTCCTTTCTTTGCCACCATTAGCCAGTATAGGGCAGTGAATGGCCATGAGCCCCAGAGCCACCAAACGCTGACACTCAGAAGCAGTGAACCCGGGGCCCGAACCCCTCATCTATGACACAGGACCATAATTATGATCAACCACGCAAGGCCTGTAAGAAGATCCCACGATACCGTGAACCACTGGGAACTGTTCACTGGGAATCACAGTCACATGCTCCAGAGAAAGAAACTTTCAGACAATCTAGCATGCCTTCTGAAGCTGTCCTGAGACCAAAAAAGGCACAGAGGCCTGTGGGTCACTGAATCAAGGACAAACTATGGCGGTAGACAGAGCGCCAGGGCAAGCAAGCCGATGGGCAGAGCTTAGTCCCGGGAGATGATGGTTTGGACCAACATGCAGTGTAGGGTTCTGAGCAGCTGCTTACACACCAGGTAGATGCAGAGGGACCTGAACACTGTACTGAGAAGGCTGGACAAATCTGGGGCATTGTAGCCTAGCAGCAAGCTGTACAGGAACAAAGGAAAGGTCTGGAAAAGGCTTCCTGTTGAAGGCAGACCTTTTGGTTGGGGGCAGAGCCTTGGAGACTGTTTCCCTCAGGAATGGGGAACGGAAGAACAGCAGTGGGGATATACAGAGAGCAGTGATGGCAAAGTAACATCTAAAAGAGGAAGTGGGGGTAGGGGAGCACAACCTTGTAACTCTAGTACTGAGGAGGCTTGGGCAGGAGGATTGTGAATTCCAGGCCAGCCTGGACTAGCAAGTGAGACCCTTTATCAAAAACAAAAGACAAAGAAAAGAGAATAGCTCATCTTTGCTGAGCAGACAGGTGTCAGGCACTGAGCAAAGCAGGTGCAGTATCTCCTCCCCTCAAGTAAGTGCCTGCTATCACTATTTCCATTCTACAATGGAGGGAACGGAAATTTAGAAAGTGAAGGGAGTTTTCCTGGGTTGAAATATGGGAGCAGCCCAAGCAGCCTTGGACTCCATAGCGGGATGCTGTGGTGCAAGACAGTATTCTCACAATTGAATTGAGGGACGAAGATATGTCAGATTGGTTAAAATGTAACTGCTGGACCTGCCCCAGAGTTTGTTCTTTTTCTTTTGAGGTAGGCTCTCATGTAGCCTCAGCTGACCTTGAACTTGTATAGACCAGGATGACTGATCTTTAACAGTTGATCATCCTGCCTCCACTTACCAAATGCTAGGATTACAAGTGTGTGACACCAGACTCAATTTATGCAGAGCTACTTCCCTAGCCCAGGAGATTCTGATAACCTTGGTCTGGGGTGGCTAAGAATATACATGTCTAACAATATTCCTGGTGCTACTGCTGCTGGTAGCCTGGGGATGATGCCTGGAGGACATCTGGGAAGGCACATGCCCCTAGTCTCATGCAAAGCTCTCGTGTTCATTTTAGAACACTGGGAGTGTGGAGGAAGTGGGAGTGAGAAGATGGGCTGGAGGCCGGAGAGATGGCTCAGCAGTTAAGAGCATAAGCTGCTCTTGCAGAGGACTTGGGTTCAGTTCCCAGCACCCACACGGTGGCTAACAACTAGTTGTAACTCCAGTTCCAGGAGATCCAATTCCCTCTTCTGGCCTCTGTGGGCATTGCATGCACTGGTGCACTTACATACATGTAGGCAAACACTTGTACACATAAAATAAAAATAAATTTTTTAGAAAAGATGGGCTGCCCGGCTCAGGGATGAAGTGAGTGTTCCCTGGTCTGCTGGTGTCAGAACCTCCCTTTCCACACAGACCACATGGACCTGACTGACACCACACAAGGGCACAAGAACAGCAGCAGCTGCAGCACAGCACCTTGGAAGCTCTTCATCCACCAGCTCTGCTTCTTGCTTCGTGGAGTGACTGCCTCAGCTTACAGATGTAGAAACGCAAGGCTTAAAGAGGATAAGGAAGTGCCCAAGATCCGCTGGCTACTCAACAACACTAGTGTGATGATGAGGAGGAAGAGGAGGAGAAAGGGAGGAGGAGAGGGTCTCATGACCTCAAGCTCACTCACTATGTAGCTGAGGATGACCTTCAGCTTCTGATCCTCTACGGTCCAGGTGCTGGGATTATAGGCATGCACCACCATGGTTGGTTTGTGCAGTGCTGGGGATTGAACTCATGGCTTCATGCATGCTAGGCAAGCACTCTACTAACTGAGCCACATATCCAGCACACAACCAGGATTTCATCTTGGGCTCATCTAGCTCCTGAATCATGTGCTTTCCACTCAGCCACATTGCTCTGCCATGACACAAGGGTGCAGTCTTTACCTGAGCAGAAAGCTACCTTAGTGCTGGAAGTGCTGTGACAGACCACATGCATGAAGACCCACCAGCTGCCTGGGGCTCAGGCACAGTCTTCCTCTTAGATTGGAAATGTCAGCAGGGCCAGAGCCAGGTAGACATTAGGGATTGAGGGATAGCTCTGCAGTAGTTCTGGGGTAGTGTCTGGTTCAAGACAGTGTCTCTACCATAGCAGTGGGCCCCAAAGTATGGGGTGCTGGACTCTCAGAGGGTGGCAGAAGGAACTGCCACACAGGAAAGAGGAAAGACAGAAACCTTCCTGCTGGAGAGGAGAAAAGAGAGGAGCAAAGAGAGGCACACCCGAGTTTCTGTTGCTATAAATCAAGGGGCCTCCAGACATAGTGGTGTGAAGAGGCCCCTCCTAGATGCCCCTGGGCCTGGGGTTAGAGGAACTTACTGAACAAACCCAGGGTGTCTGCCCCCACCCCTGCCCAGCCCCAGGTTATGGGAACTCCCTAACTAAGGAGGCATGGGAAAAGCAGGGGATGCCCAAGAGACCTCACCTCCCTGTTTTGCCCACTGGTCAACAAGGCTCACCAGAGCTCACACTGTTTCTTGTTTATAAATAAGACTCAGAAAAGTATCCACTCATTGCATTACACAGAGCAAGTGTATCTACACTTGAGAAAATGCTTAGAGAGTTGTGCCTGGCACATGACAAGTGCCTAATGCATGCATACCATGCTGGTACATAATAAGTGCTTAATGCATGCAAATTACTCTGGCACATAACAAGCACCTAATGTATGCACATCATGCCAGTGATCCAGGCTGGCTTGGAGCTAGACGCTGAGAGGCCTCCTAGTTATACCAGCCTAGTCACCTGGCTTCTACTTCTGATAGGAATGACCACTCTCAGCTTTGAAGTGTTATCTAGATCCTTTTTTCCTAGTCTGGAAATTTCCCTCCTCTGGAATACTCTGAACCAGTTCTTCACTGCAAGGTGCAAAGGAATTTCCCACCCACACAGGCAGGAGGTATGAGTGGGTGAGTCAATGACAGAGTGTCTGGTCAGGAGCTAGGAGCCCTGGAGTCGTGGTCCCCATGCCAGCTCTGGCCACCAGTCAGCCTCATGTCCCAAGACTAAGCATTAGCCTCTTGGAAGTCTTGACTACACATAAGGTCGGTGCTGAATTCTGTGCCAAATCCTGAAATTAGGAACTTTGGGGTCCATGCTCTCTGAAAGACTAGACCAAGGGTTGAAGGACCAGAGGGTGAGGCAGAATCAACCTTCCAGGGAGCACCTGCAGGCTGAATGGGAAAGGGGTTCCAAGGAGGAATTATCACTATGCATGACTGATGCTCAGAGCACAGGGGAAACCAGGTGACTTCCATACTAGGAGGTCACCTTCCCTAGGGCCTGCCCAGATTCCCAGCAGGTGCCCCGGCCCAAGACAGAACCCTTGAGCCATGAGAAGCTGAGAGGAGGTAGGGGAACTGCTGGGGGAAAGAACTTGGCCTTGGGCCATGTTTGTGACCTCAGATCTCTACAAGGGTATAACACAGTAGAACCTGGTACATCATGGGACGACACATCTTCATGGGGTTTGGAAGCCTGGTGTCCTTGAGGAAGGCTATGAGCCTTCTCAGGCAGTTTCCTCATCTTTTAAAGAGGTCTACTGAGTGTTCTCTGTGTGCCAGTCAGGGGCTTTTTCTGGGCCCTGGAAAATTGGCCAAGTTCAAGACAGACAGATAAGGCTTGGCTCCCATGGAACTTTTGGACTAATTGGAGAAGACAAACCATAAACATGTAGGTAAGTTAATTTTAGTTCATGATAATAATATCAGTAAGTCACCAGAGGTGGCTGCTTTAGAGTAGAGTTAATCTCTCCTGAGTGGTTAGAAGAATTAAATACATTAACATAAGAAATGTACTTAGCCCAGAGCCGGCCAGCAATAATGGTTCTGTAAATAATGTCATCTCCATCATCCCAGAACCCTAGAATGAGAGCAAAGGGGAGACTCTGCCTGAGGTCTTCAAATGATCACACCCCTCCAAGCCTTGGGCTCTGCCAGACAGTGTAATAACCACTTGCCTTGACTTTCACAGTCCTTATCTTGTGGTGTCTCCCAACTTACATGGTTTGTTATTAGTCCTACTTTAAAGACCCTGAAATAGACAACAGAGACAACACCTGGGAACGTAGCCTGGGAACTCCA